TTTTTGAAATTGGTCCGTGCGCAAAGCATTGTGGGGATTTGAAGGACGCGAAGTCTACCCATGTGCAGCCTCGAAATTACCCCCAAACCAAGGACGTGGCCTCGGTGGAATTCCAAGTATGCTGGAGATTGGAACAGTCCTTCGGCGGCACTCGATGACGTAGTATCCTTGAAATATTGGCTTGGAAGCCAGTTTCCTCGAGATTGAGAAACAGCCCGAGGAAATGAAAATAATCGACACTACCGTAGGACCGAGGAGAGGAAATTAGAGTATTGAGAAAACTCTATTGTAAGACCACAATTTTATTGAAAATGGGATCTTACTAAGAGAGAACAATTCAATATTTAAATGATAAAATTACATTTTTTGGGTATCCTTTTGTTGAACTGTCTGTTTAAAATTAATCGAAGCATGAGACAAAAAAAGCTTTTGAAAATAATGTTATATTTTGATTTAGGTCAAAATATAAGTCAGTGCCAGTGCTTCACCAGCCATGAACCTCACTGCAGAAGCTTATATATAGACATCTACGTTTTTTGTGCCCCACCACTTTTGTACATATAAAAACGCCACTGTAGCCAGGCCACCACCACGGCGGGGTTTAGTGATGTATTTAAAACCAGGGGGGGATGTTTGGTTGAGGGAGAAGAAGTTATTGGGCTGTTGCCAGGTTTCGGTGAGCAGAAGGAAATCAAGGGATTTTTCCAAGATTAGTTCATGAAGGATGAGAGCTTTCTTGTGAATAAATGAGAGAATAAACTAAAAGGAAACACTAAACTACAAAAACATTCAACATTATCCAAATTAATGAAGACTTTGAAGATGCAAAACAAGCACAGAGAAGGAACTGCTGCCAAGACAATAATAAGAACCAAAAGAAGCCAGTCAACGAAAGTTTGATTATCCGTTGCATGTCTGTGTCCAGCATCTTATTTTCTCATAATCTGCAAAAGTTAGTGTTTGCTCCTGTGGTCTGACCTTTTATGGATCAACTGACACCAAGTACAAGGAGGCGTAACATGTAAAAGCATGTAGTCACATACGACACGCTATTATAAATAATTTATTATCACATTATGGTTACAATTATAAAAGGATATCAATTTGCTCTTAATCGAAGCCTCCCAAAATATAAAACTGGGCTGTATAGTGTCAGGAGTCTCCACCTGATGGCAGCACCGAGCACAAACTTCCCAACACATTTTAATAAAAATTCTGCTAGAAATGACTAGATCTTTCACAGTGCCCACACCATATGAAAAAGCTCATATTATCCAAAGCAGCATGAATACAAAATAATGAATACATTAAAAAAAGAAATGTTCACATTATTGCAACTTGTTGCACAAACATAATTCCAAAATTAAATGTATATTCAATTCTAAAATAATTCTGCTAAGATAAGTTTTTTTTATTGTGATCTACAACTATCTTATAGATTTTCAATTAATATCCGATACAGAAAAAATAACCAAATAGCTCCTTTTTTTTTTTTATGAGAATATTTTGAGCATTAAAAATGGAGTTTGAGAGACATTTCTGAGTTTATACATACCTTTTCTGATGACGCTGAAAATATTCTTATGTTGGGATGTCATCCATCTGAGTGTATCCACCTTCACTATTATAACTCTTGACAGTACACATAAAAAAAAAGAAGATATTTATGAAATGTTGCTGCTCAAAAGGAACTGATTATGAGGGTAGTAGCTTGATTGAATGATGATAAAGGTTCTGACTGATATACTGGCCCCGAAACATTAGACAGAACTACACTATCACATTTATAAACCCAAAAAGTTGATATTGTCACTAGAATACAATTATTTCCACACCTATAAGAAAAACACAAGACAATAATTCTTCATACATCAACCATAAAATGGATTTATTTCACCAGAGGTCCAAACATATTTCCGTGTTGCCCCAGGATGCATAGAAGATGTCAGTGTCATAGGAATTCAACTTTTACAAACCAGTGTTTACAATCTAAATGTTCTTCAGCTCGACCATTGGTTTGAACATAAAGCCAGGCGCAACAGATCTTCATGTTACACCGTATCAAAATGCCACCGTCTAACTGGGACAGTCTGTGAAGGAATTAAAAAGGAATAAAGAGGGGGGCGGGGGGCAGTTTAAAAAAATAATCTTAATTTGATCAGAGGGACGGTTGTGGTTCTGCAGGTGAATGAGTGTAAGGCTACTGGTATAGGTCAAAGAAAATCTCTCTTCAGTGTATTCTCACTATTACACTTCTCTCATGTGGAGAGAAGTGGAAACTAGTACAAAACCACATTACTGTAATAAAACTAATACTCCTTATGTGGTTAGGGTGGGGTGAGGCCCCAGCTCCTAATAGTAAACTGAGCTGAAGGGTCAATTTCAGATTAATAGGGGAGGGGAAATGGGGAGCAGGGCAAAGGAAAAATAAGTTTAGTGAACATCTGTGCAGGAAGCTGTGTTTGGGTTAAACCATCTACCACTGTCAGTAAACACCCCCCCATCAGAACATCCTACAGCATCTGTAGGCATATCTTACAGCTCTTAATTTAGCTGTTCCAAAGTGGAAGGTTTAAAGTGCCCCCGTCACCGCAGAAGGGGGGGAGGAGGTTGAGAGTAGGGGTTTCACTTTAGAAAAACAAAAATTCAGAAATGAGAAGTCCATACATAAGTCCATGTTTCCCCCTCCCTCAGAAGCAGGTAACTCAGCCACACCCCCCGGGGAGGGAGTGTGGAGGGTGGATGCTCTTACTCTCCCCCTCAGGTTAGCCTCTGCACGATGACGGCGTTCAGGAGGTTGGCCTGCTCCAGCGTCAGGCTCTCATCCGACAGCTCCTTGTTGGGGAAGGTGGTCATCAGGACGAATTCGCTGGCTGCCATGAGGGGCCGGGCCCCCACCAGAAACTGCCGCAGATCCGACACCCTGAAGGAGCAACAACACGGGCGGTTACTGATGTTGTGGTGAGTAAGGGATAATGTGCAGCAAGACATTCACTACTGCAGAATTCGTTATATTGACCAGAGTTATGCAGAATGATATGACTGCACATAGTCCCTTAACCAGAGCGTCCTTGACAACGGTCTGCTATCAACAATTAGCAGGTAACTGAATGTCAAAATTGACAATTAGTTAACTGAGTCGTTTGATAACAAAACAGCTTTTTTTCTAAATACATTTTTCACTGCTTTATCATTGTTTTTGGGGGCAATGGCATGGGGTTAACTGAATGAGAAAATGTCATACTCAATCTAAAAGAGGGAAGCACAGATTCACCGTCTGTTCATCGGTAATTGACGATATTCACCTTGTTGACTTCCAGGTAAACACGATCAATCACAATGCTTATCCATGGGGTCACATCAATCATGCCCGTCTAAATGTCTGTCGGTTATTTGAAAAGAACACTCTGCTACAGCATAAGAAATCACGTGTGGTTTGTTTACAATTTAACGTTAAAGAAAACTGTCAGCAACAGAGGACCACCAACAAGAATGCTGTCTTAATTGGTGATGTGTGCGTGCCATCTTTCCGAAGAGAAGAGCTCATGAGGGTGTGATGTCGTCACCTGTGGGTGTGATTGAACCTCTGCACCAGCCGGCCTCCGTCATGCAGTCTGATCTGGATATTGGTGACGGGCTGGGAGGAGTCCAGGCTGACGGTGGCGCTGGCCTGAGCCTCGTTAGCCAACTGGTCCTGCTGCGAGGAGGTGGGGGAGTTAACCAGCTCTGGGGTGGCACTGTGGGAGGAGGAGGGGGAGGGGAAAGTTAGCCAAGGCATTTTTATACAAATATTCGCATCTTAATATTTGATAGAATTAGCTTCCTAAAAAACAGGAATTAGTCAGCATTTTGCCATCATTCATACATACATCTTGGCGGGGCGCTGCGCCCTGCCTGAAATTCAAGGTGTTTTTTTTTTTATTTAAAAAAAAAGTAATTTATCTACGGTCACTTTTCACATGTGCTCTTTTATTAAATAAACTAAACGCCTATGTTATTATTTATCCAATGTGCATGTTTCAATGTCCACTGCTTAGCGTATTCACATTCTCCCTCCGCTCTGTTCTGAAGGCTCCGCTTCCCCCCCCCCCACCCACACACACAAATGCACACACTCACAATCAGAGACAAGAGCGGAGGAAAGGAGGAGAACAACAAAGTGTAAAAAAGTCAAACAAATCTGCATTATTGCCCCGAGCTCTGCTGTCTGCCCGTTTGTGTGTCCCCCCCCCCCCGTTTCAAATTAGTTTATTATTATATTTTAACCGCAAGCCGTTATCGTCACGGGAGAAGGACACACAGCCTGCCCAGGTGGACGCGCGCGAACGCGACAACGAACGTAGCGTGCGCATTCTAAAAATAGCTCACAGATGGTGAGCCGGTACCGCGCTTTTGAACTACAGTATTGAATTTGACAGAAAACAACAATGAAACGCCAGCAGAAGAATAGTCGAATGAGTTGGCTGAATAAAAAGATGTGAGTTGGTTTATTCAGTAAATTAGCTCAGGATAATTGGATGTTCTGTCTACACCTGTTGATGTGAGGCTAATGCAGGATTTGCTAGCTTGATGCTACCGGCATTTAGCGGCAGTGACTCAACAAATTGCCTCTTAAAATGTATCGTCAGCAATGTATGACAAGCAGACTGCTTGTTTAATGTTAGACTCACACCAATAGCTCAATATGATCATAACACGATTGCTTTCATATCAGAGATCAGAGGAGGTGGAGCTGCCTCCAGCAATAGAGGATGAGGCAGAGAGAAGCAGCAGCAGCACAGGGTTGCAGCAGGTATGTTATATGCTGTAGTCAGGTGATTTAAATGTATCAATGAAAGGAAGAAGTGTAGGCTACATGATAAGAAGGGAATACAGTTTGAATTAAAGTAATACAGTACA